GACGTCACTTTGTATGAGATAATGGGTTGGCAACTAAGTGATTGCGGTTTTGTCATTAAATGGTAATGACAAAAACAGCCCAACAGAATAGAATAGTCTGAACGATGAAGAATTCTGAAGAAGTAAAGCGAACGGGCATTCTGCTGATTTTTTATCTTGACGTTATTTTGTATGAGATGATGGGTGGGCAACTAAGTGATTGCGGTTTTGTCATTAGGCGATAATGACAAAATCAACCCAATAGGATAGAATAGTCTGAACGATGAAGAATTATGAAGAAGTAAAGCGAACGGGCATTCCGCTGATTTTTTATCTCGACGTCACTTTGTATGAGATAATGGGTTGGCAACTAAGTGATTGCGGATTTTGTCATCAGATGGTATTAACAAAATACGCAATCACTTAGTTGCCAGCCCAATATCTCATACGGAAAAATAGACAAGTTTCGTGGTCGAATGTGCAACAGATCGAAGAATTACAATACTCGCGAGGAAGTGCTAAAAATCGGTGCCAAAGATTATCTTGTGAACGTCCTAATTTCGTTCATGTGCAACGTTTACGAAATTATCTACTTGGCAATTAAGTGATTGCGGATTTTGCCATTGGGTGGTATTGACAAAATCCGCAATCACTTAGTTGCCAACCCAATAGATACAATTTTCGATATAATTTCGATATAATTTGACATTACGCGAAAACGTGGAAGGAACCTGTTAGGTGTAGGTTAAATATCGAATATAAAAATTTTCTAGAGGCTAACTTATAGCTGTCGAGACGAATTATATCTCGATATTCTTCGGTCTTTTGCCACTTCGACGTATATGTTCGATGTTATCTTTAAAGTAGGAAAAAGTGGTAGGAAAGTTGACGTTTAATCTCGTAGAAATTAGACAAGTTACTCAGACAGAAGGAACGTGTTATTTGGCCAACTTTACGGTAAACAGATGAAACAAATTATTCTTCGTTTGCCTAGAACCACTTCACCGTGTACGTGAAAAATTGGTCGTTCGCCCGACGACGAGACAATGTCGTGAAATTAAAAATTCCTTTTCGCTGGTGCAGAAAATTGAAAAGTATTAAACGCTCGGGAAGAATACATGCGGTGTTGTAACATTTCGTAAACGTTGGACATGAACGAAATCAGGACGTTCACCAGACAATCTTTGGCGCCGATTTTTAAGACTCCGTCGCGGGTATCGTAATTCTTCGATTTCGTTGTTGCACATTCGACCACGAAACTTGTCTATTTTTTCATATAAAACGGAAAGAGCAAGGTACATCCAGCGGAAAAGCTCACAGCGAACCTCTACTAGACATTTCTGAGAAATGAAATTTCTTAACCTTAGTCGAGTGAAACGCTCGAAATTAATACACTTTTTCAATGCGTCTATTTAAACTACTTGTGCTTGGCCGCGCCGCTTCGTTCCAGCAAAAAGTCAAATATAATTTACAAGCAATAACAGCCGGCCAGTGTCATATACTTTTTCCTCGATTCTCATTTCCGGGATACATCAGCCTTGAACGATAAAACAGTTGGAAAATTTCTTGCGTGCATATATTTATTTTAACTGCCTGCAATATTTTCTATCCGTCTATTAACGCGTCTTTCTCGGCTCTGCTCTCCAGCTTCTGCGATCGTGTAAGGTGTTGAAAATTCGAATTTCATTTTACACCTGCCATATAGCTTTACAGCTAATTAGCCTACGATTTTATTCTCTGCCACGATATTTCCTTGTCGCTCGAACGAGATACAACCAACTTTAGCAAAAGTAAGATACTATTTTTTTGCGAAGCAGCAGCATCTTTCAAAAAAAAAAGAAAAAGGAGGGGTAGAGGAGGCGATAGAAATAGGAATGGAAATAAAATGCTAAAACATTGATCGTTCTGTTGAAAGGCGTTTGTCACGAACACGAACGAGAAAATATGGGAACCGTTTCGATCGATCTTCGATCACTGGACACAAGTGAAAGGCGAAGCCAGCTGGGTGGAAGTTCTCATGCCGCGGGATCCTCGAACGAGGGTCCTGAGCCGGATGACTCGGACGCCGCCAGCAACGAAGCTCGTCTACGGGGTGTGCTGCAACCGACCTCGACCGAGGATCAGGCGGGAAATGTTCGACGACTTCCGGCGGAGGACGCTGAACCTCGCGGTCAAATACTGAAACTCGGTTATCCAAAAGGCAAACGAAACAGCGGGAAGAAAGCAACTCGGTGCAAACGAAGGGTCACGTTCGCCGTATAAGTTCCATTCCGACGCTACTTTCACAAATGTGAGAAATAAAGCGAAATAAAATTGATCGTATTTTGAACATTCGTTGCATTGCTATTTGTTACACATTTACTTATTTATTTATTTATAATTACTTATTACAATATACTATAATATACTTTATAATGCTTTTTACTTTATAATACTATAATATAATACTATAATAGTATAATATACTTTATGATGATTAGAAGCTTATTATCTACTTTTATATTGTATATTATAATATTTGTTATATTAGGTCGTCCGAAAAGTTTCTTTCGTTTTATAAGGAATAATGGATGCACAACATTTTTCATTTTATATTATTGTATCGAATTACGTATGATCGATTCTGTTCTATCAAAATGAAGATCACAATGTTCGACAGATTAGGTTTCATGTTTGTATAAAAATTCGTTGTAAAAGACGTTGTTGTAAAAGAAAGACACTACCCGGACAATCTAATATTATATTATAATTTGTTATCGTCAGTTTTGAATTCTGCGAATTAACGTCAAATCGCCGTACGATTTCTCAAACGTTAAATTTAGAGTTTCGGGAATTTTGTATTTTCCTGGAAAAATAGGTAAATTCGTGTAACCTCGGGCAAATATCTAATACGATGTGTAACAGCTAAACTGCGAGTATTTACGCATTTAGCAATAGCGTAAATATGTATGTGAGTATAAATAGAGCGCGTTTATCAAAGAGGCAAAATACGTATCGGGATATTTAGAAGATGGAAAACATAATTCTACCCGAGTTCTACTTCTTCGTCGATGCTTGTAAGAGCGTGAACTTGCGTAAATAATTGTAATCTGACGATAATGATAGGACAAAGCTACGACAATTTCACGCTAGATTTATGAAAATTTAATATACGTGTGTCGTAGGAAATTTCTTTAAAATAGATTCTACGATATACAGAGTGGTTGGTAACTGGTGGTCCAAGCAGAAAGGGGTGATTCTACGCGAAAAAAGAAGTCGAAAATATAGAATAACAATTTTTCGTTGGAGGCTCTGTTTTCGAGAAAATCGACTTTGAATTTTCGCTCGGTACGCCTGCGGTTATAACGAATCACATTGTAGATTGTTGTCTCGATGAAAAAATTTAAATAAAAAGAAAACAAAATTGTTTCTTCTGATATCTTTTCTAAATCAGTTAAAGTTAAAAAGTTAATTCTGATATTTTAGTGTAATTGAACTATAGTTTGATATTAGTCGAGACTTTGTTTCGTATACAGGGTGGTTGGTAATTGGTGGTCCAAGCGGAAAGGGGGTGATTCTACGCGAAAAAAAAGTCGAAGATATAGAATAAAATTTTTTTTTCTTAATTTTTTAATTTTTCCATCGAGACAATGAGAAAATCGACTTTGAATTTCCGCTCGGTACGCGTGCACTTTATCGCGTCTCGTTATGACGGATCTCACTGTAGATCATTGTCTCGATGGAAAAATTAAAAAATTAAGAAAAAAAAATTTTATTCTATATCTTCGACTTTTTTTTCGCGTAGAATCACCCCCTTTCCGCTTGGACCACCAATTACCAACCACCCTGTATACGAAACAAAGTCTCGACTAATATCAAACTACAGTTCAATTGGACTAAAATATCAGAATTAAAAGAGAAATATTTATAATATATTTATAATTGTAGCCTGACGATAATGATCGGACAAAACTATGACAATTTCACGGTAGATTCATGAAAATTTAATATACGTGTATCATAGATCTCTTCTAATTCTGATATTTTAGTCCAATTGAACTGTAGTTTGATATTAGTCGAGACTTTGTTTCGTATACAGGGTGGTTGGTAATTGGTGGTACAAGCGGAAAAGGGATGATTTCTACGCGAAAAAGAAGTCGAAAATATAGAATAACAATTTTTTTTTCTCTGCTCTGTTTTCGAGAAAATCGACTTTGAATTTTCGCTCGGTACGCCTGCGGTTATAACGAATCACATTGTAGATTGTTGTCTCGATGAAAAAATTTAAATAAAAAGAAAACAAAATTGTTTCTTCAACGAAAAATTGTTATTCTATATTTTCGACTTCTTTTTTCGCGTAGAATCATCCCTTTTCCGCTTGTACCACCAATTACCAACCACCCTGTATACGAAACAAAGTCTCGACTAATATCAAACTACAGTTCAATTGGACTAAAATATCAGAATTAGAAGAGAAATATTTATAATATTCGAAGAATATTTATAAACCAACGAATATTATGATACTTAAAGAATGAATAATACTTAGACGATATTGGAATATTAAACTTAGATTTGATCTCGAATTTTGCATATTTTATATATTTCTTACGATATTATTGATATTACGAGCGTCTAATGGAAATGCCAATAACAGTTTATCGAAGATGATAATTTTAATTCATCGAACGCTTGTTCGTTCATATCGATAGGTAGAAATCGAGGATCGATTGGCGAATGTTTCGGTAACCGTGGATCAGCCGATCCCCCATTGTTAATTAAATGTACGTTCAGTCATCGTTCAAAATGCCGCGTCGCTGAGTCAACGGCAATGGAATATCCCTTGTAAAATTATAATCACACGTTTCAAAATTCTAAGTGATTACGATCGAAACAATCAAAATCCATCGTATCGGTTCCCAATGATTTAAAGAATCGTCCAACAATGAAAGGAATCCGGACATTCGTGTTGCAGGATCTTTCTCACGTTTTACCCACAAAAAGTTTCCAGGTACCGACACTCAAATTGTCATCATACGCGAATTCACGTTTTCCTGAATACGATCGAAAACAGCTTGGATAGAAAATCATTTTGCTCGAATAAATATTATAAACTAGAAGCTTCTATCAATTCACGTACTCGGTGAACCATAAAAATAATCTGTCAGACGAAAGTCTAGATTTCGATGAAACTATATTTCGCTGAATTCAATCATTTCGTTTAGATTAGATTCTCCAATTGCCTCTACGTAATTAAATCTACACAGCCTTTGTATCTTGTACACATGTTGTCAGACATCGACGTTCAAATTTCCCGTAAAAAAAAAATATCATCTCAATATCCATTGGATATTACAGAAGGTAATCTTACGCGAAATTTTATTCTTTCGAAACAAAACAGAAAAATCTCGTGCCAAGTTATTACCTGTCGTCGTCGCAAGTGCACACAACATCGTCGTCTCGTCGATTTTGGAATTTCTTCGACTTCTCGTGCAAAGAGGAGCCGGCCAGTCGCGACAAAAAGAAGTGTCTGCCTTCCAATGGCATCGTCTCGTCGTCCTTATTCTCCAACGATGCTCTGGATGCCGTCTCGAAATCCGTGTCGCCGAATTCCGTGACCACGACCGTAACGTTCACGCCAAAATACATCAACGATTCTCAACTGGACCTGAAGGCAACGTCGATGACGTGTTTAAAAATCCAGGGTCTAATGAAACAAGACAACTTGGTGTCTTTGCTGGATGGAAATCCTGTGCCAAGGACGCTGAAATGGAAGCTTAAAGGTTACAAGACTCTTCGAAACGAGCAGGCTGTTGACTTCGCCTTCGTTCCTGGCGCAAATTCTTACGAGTGCGATATTCTACCGCGAAACGAATACCACGAACTCGAACAGTCAAATCGTAGAATGCTACCACGTCGGAAGAGCATCTGCTCGGGCATGGAAAACAGCGTTGAAAATGACACGCTGTCCTTGACGACGAAAGCCATCGAGAACAAGGCTAAGATCGAGCGTGTAAAGAAAGTAGACGCTAAAGACGCTAATATGGTGGAAAAGGAAAGTAACCTGGAGCGTAAGAATATTTCAGACGTGGACAGACCAGCGAACGTTTCCAGTCAGGAGGCTTCAAGCTGCGAGTTGATGGCTCGCGTGCTTCAAAGCGCTGGCCCGAAGAAAGAGGAGATAAAGTATCTACCGATTTTGAAATCGGAACTGTCAGCGGCAACGAGTCAGACGCAGCCAGTGGCTCGATTTTGCTCGCGACCGCCGAAGAAGATCCAGAAACCTGCAGCTCCGATATTAAACCGAACGGAGAAAGAGGCTGATAGCGCGAAAGACGTTTCTTCGATGGAACTCGACGAAGAAAAGAAAGCTGCCGCGTCTCGGGAGAAACAGGCTTCTTCCCTTTCGAAACCGTTGGCTCCGGGCTACTCGGAAGTCACCGGAAGCGCGTCGCAGCGGCGCTCTATGGGAAACCGTGAAGAAGAAAGATATCCGATGGAAGGTGAAGCGAAGGCTCGAGAAACGGAGAATGACACGAGTGCTTTTCAATCGTCCGCGAAGATATCGCGAACTAAACCGACGGAATTCGCCAGAGATTCCGCAGAAACGTCGGAGAAGAGGCAAGCTGAGTCACGGACGTCCACCTATTTCGCTCCAAGAGCTTCCGGAGGTTCCAGTCACGGCTGGAACAGGCAATCGTCCAGGACCCAGGGTAACCGTACGTTCGAGTCGATAATTGGAATACCAGAGAACACGACCGCGCCGTTGAAGTTAAGCAGACGAAACGAGGGACAAGGAGCGAGGTCGTCGCCGTGCGCCGCCACGCAAGTGAGATTGCAGCAAAACGAAGGCAGAAGCGTATCGAACTCGCGAACGAATTCCTCCGGCAACGGTAGGTCGTCGATGGGCGGAAGTTCGGACGGAGGCTCTCGAAAACCACCGGCTTCGTTTGCCCCGTTTACGACCAGAAGATCTTCCTCGAATTCCTCTTGTTTATCGAGGAAGCCGGCGGTGTCGAAGAGGACTGGCAACGGAGCGAAAAGCGCGTTCAACTCGAACAACTCGCTGAATATTTCCACTTGCAGCGTGAATGCGGCGAGGAAATGTCGCGATAACGACGCCAGATGCCCGAGGGCGAGGAAGTGCGAGCAGGAGAGGCCGAGGAGTAAAAAGGATAAAAAGATTTGCAAACGTTATTGCTGTCCTGCGTTGCAGACGCCGACCCAGTGCGATTATAGCAGGTTCCAGTGCCCGAAACACAAGATTAAAAATGCCACTCAGATAGAGAAATACGAAGTGAAGAAAGATCCCACGTGCATGCCGAATGAGACGGATGAACAGTCGAGAGAG